ACCATTAGAAATACAAACCATGTGAAGGCTGGCAAAGTATTTTCAGAAGTGACCGTAGAGTTTTCATAACTTGATATAAAGCCAAACAACTCAAAACATACCAGAACATTAGCAGACATTTGAAAAACAAAGCAAACATAAAACTCAGAACTAAAACCCAACCTAAATCTAAACATTCTATTTCTTTGAAAAAGTAGTTCATTGAAGCTTATTCTTTTCCTACAACAGCCAAGTGAATTTTTTACATGTGAAAGTAGCTTAGGAGTGACTGTATGTATTGCACGTCTGAGAATATATTATTTTAGAATTAATTGTCTGCATATTACATTAAAAAAGAGTTCTAGGATTTAGTTTGAAAGAGTTTGGGCAGCAAATACTTATGTGTAAATAGCAAGTTTAAAGAGTTATTTAAGAGTAGCTTATAGAATCATAGGTCACAGAATTGTTTAGATTAGAAAAGACCTTAAGGATCATTGATTCCCACCATTAACCTAGCACTGCCAAGTCCACCACTAAACCAGACGGTGACTCAACTACTTCCAGAGAATGCTGTGGGAAACAGCGTCAAAGATTTTACCAAAGCCCAGGTGGGCAACATCCAGAACCTTCCCTCATCCACTAAGTGGGTGACCTTGTCACAGAAAATCAGGTTAATCAAGCAGGACCTGCCTTCCATAAACCCCTGCTGTCTACGCCTGATCTCCTGGTTATCCTGGGCATACTGAAAGATGGTATCAAGATCTCCTTCCCCTGCACTGAGGTCAGGTTGACAGGACTATACTTTCTCACCCTCTTCTACCAACATTCCTTGTAGACGGGCATCACATTTGTGAAGTCTTAGCTGGTCGGGACCTCTCAGATTAGCCAGAACTGCTGGTAAATGGTGGAAAGTGGTTCAGTGAGCACTTCTGCCAATTTCTCTTTTTATCTGGGCTTGCACATTCCTTTAGGGGCTTCACAGTGTAAGGAAAGATTTTGATTTGCTGTTGTTGTGGTACCACTAAATATTCTTTCACTGAAGCTGATTGCTGTTGAAAGTAATTGAAGAGTTTTGGGGGCTTTTTGTGTATGTGAAAAGCAATAAGATTTAATATAATTGTATTAGCAGGAGTTTAAATGCTACAGTTTTTAAATTAGCAGTGATGAATACGTTAAAATGAATAGTTGACATATACTTTGTGAAACAGCAGCTTAGAGGGCTTCATCTTAGTTGTAGCTGACCCACATAAGAGTCCTACTCCTGAATACACTAGATTAGGGGGGAAAGAGAGAGGAATTATTTTTATAACAGGATTTGCTGTTCCCTGCTAAAGGAAAGTGCCCTATATCTGTCTCTGCCAGCAAAATTCAGGCTCAGCAGTTTGATATGACACTAATTTACTTGCAGAGAGATTTATAAACCTTCATAAATAGCAGAACAATATGATTAGGTAGTGCTTCTGTTGATTCCATTACAACAGAGGTTTAAAGATACTAAGAAAAAAAAATCAAATGGCCCAAGCTGGAATTAAGCTTTCTTAATGGAATGAGAAAAAAGCCCCAGAAGTGATGGAAAAGAAACAAAGAATTTCTGCTGTGATCAAGCAGGGAAACCATTTCTTAAGCTTTGATGGATGGGTTGCATTAAAAGTTGGAAATCTGAACCACATATCATTCTGCTTTGAGATGTAGATTTCATTTATAACTTTAGTGAATTGTTTTAAAAATTATTTATTTCAGTTTCTACAGGCTATCTGAATCTTTTCTTACAGATTGGGCTCTGTACTGGATCACGCCCTCAGAAAAGCACCCGGAATACTGTGAGGACTTTTTTTTTGGTAGTGACATATTTTACGTCTATTCCTTTTAATGTGCCATGTCAGCAGTTCTCTGACCATGTCTTTTTTTAAGCTGAGCAAGGCAGGAGTTACAAACTAACAGCCAGCATATGAAACTATTGGGAAGCTCAGCCGTACGTTACAGATATGATGTGCCTCTTGCTCTTTGTCTTCTCTGAACAGTTTCCTGTGAGGAGCAAGGGTTCCCCTACTGATGTGAATGCAGACCATTTATGTGGTTGTAAACTTCAGCACATGGCTTAGCACCAGTAAATCTTCAGTCAAAAATCTCCATTTCACAAGGATTTATTTAGAAAAAAAGTTTAAAGTGCCACTGTATAAAGCTTGCTCCACTCTTTTGCTCAGCTACTTGTTTGGAGAAATTTACATATATGTACATATTTGCACATAGAAACTTTTTTCCATATTTTCCTGGCAAAACATTTTAGATGCTTATTCAGGTTTCTTTATTCAAGGAAATGAGTATTGAGTGCTATCAGTAGGTTTAGAAAGTTGAATACCTGTATTTCAACCCTAACAGTAACAAATATTCAAATACTGCATAATATTTAGTCCTGTCATTCCAAGAAATATAAGGTTTTTGCTCAGCCCACTGTCAGATTGCTTTTTCCTATTCTTATCCAATAAAAATTAAGAGTTTGAGCAACGATGCTGGATTACAATACAAACTTGAATATCACCTACTCTGCTCTATACCTTGGAGTCTAAAGCAAAGAGAATTTAGTGTGTCTATTTCTTTGAAAAGGCTCATGTTCAATCTCCCTATTTTTAAAGCTGATTGCTTCCCAGTGAATATGAAACAAAATTAAAAATAGTCTAGTACTATTACTAGACTAATAGTACTATAACTATAGTTATATAGTATAACTACTATAACTATTACTATAACTAGTACTAGTTTAGTACACTAAAAATAGTGTACTGCATCTTGAGAGGAATAGTAGCATAACTGTTTAGGAGCATCAAAACACTGAACCCTTATCTAGGCTCTGGGCACGATTAATGCAGTTGGAATTGAATCCAAGAAAAAGTGGTTGTTTTGGAGAGGGTTGGTAGGCTGGAGACACTTCTTTCCAGTCAAGTCCTTACTCTGAACCTGTATCTATTTACATCAATGAAGATTTTAATAACATTTAACTGTTGACTGCTGCTACATCAGCAAACTCAGCAATGAAATATCCCATCAGGGCTAAGCAAAACTCCAGCACGAAGTTACCAGTGCTGCTGTCAGGAAATAAATTAACGGGATCTGCGTTTCCTTAAAAGTTGATTGATTTCCTGGAAAAGCCAATGGAAATGCCACCAGTCCTCATTCTGCTTTGGTAGAAGCAATCAAATGAAGACTCTATAGAACCAAACACTACTCAAAAAGAAAAAGATAAAAAATTGATCTTTCAACATAACTGGTCTTGTATAAAACAGTTCAATTACTTGCGGAGGAAATCCTATTTTCCTCATAGTTTTCTGCAAGGATCTGCAAGGAATATAATTACATGTAACTCAATTTACTGGTAGGACAACCATGTTCTTTAATGCTCTTTCATAAAAGTGTTTGGCTCAATCTGCTTATTATTTTTAAATTTCCTTTTCATAAGGCCACACCTTTTCTGTCAAGTATGTATCCCCACTATGTCTGGGAATATATGCCCAAAATGTTCTCATGTTCTCTGTAGTCAGAAGAGTTATGGTTATTTTTTTCAAATTAGAAAATGAAAATACAGACATGCACATGCAACTTAGAAATGTGAAGATATTTTCTTAGATGCAATATATCCTTTGAATGAAAAGAAGGAAAAAATATGTCTGGTGACTTTTCTTTGGTATTATTTTCTGTTATAACTCTAACTGAAAGTATACTGTGAGTAAACAACATCCAGAGGGAATAATACTAAAGCCATGGTTATGGATTTCCAGAATAAAGATTTCTGCTTCCAGCAAAGTCAGGATCTTATTAGGTGATGAAAGTATCCAAAATTTGGATTTTATCTTTAACAATGCAGAACACAAAAACTCAAAAAAAACCAAACCCCAAACCCCCTTCCAATTGCATCTTTGTACAAATAATAGAGTGTAAAAGGGTGGGTGATAAAGTATAAAATTATGCATTTATTAATTTGAAAGGATTATTTCTATATAACATCTTTCCAAGTTATATAGAAGTATATAGATAGTGATAACTTATTCTTTCAAACAAAAACATTTTAATGGCAGGCAAGAGATACTAACTTTACAGCTTTGCTGTATTCATGTCCTGTAATGTTTAACAGAAAAATATAAACTAATTATTCACTCAGTCAGGTATATGCCATCAAACCAATCTTTTGCAGAAAGTGACTGAATTAAATGTTGTTTGTTTGAACGCACTTCAGCCTGTCAAAACAAGGGAGCAAAAAAACCCTGAAAAGTTGAAATCTCTCCTTACCTTGACAAACACAACATAAATCAAGAGCTCCAGGTTATATCTGTAAATATAAACACATAAAAGATTCAGAAAAGGTTTGTTTAAAAAAAGTCACTTTACAAAATTTTCTTTGAAACTTCAGGGTTCAAACATTTAACTGTATGTCAGAAAACTTTTGTGACAGTTACTGACCCCACTTCTTTCCTGCTCCCTTTCATAAAAGATATAATCCAATAGACTTTTTATAAAAAAAATATTCTTCATCTTCTTTGATACGCTGGACCTTTATATGTCGGAAAACTGTGACACTGGGCTCTGGGACTGCTATTTTTAGTCTCTCAATATGTTTGGAAGAGGAAAATCATCATCTTGAAATTATCTGTAGGATTTGAGCTAAGGAAAGACGCAACAAAAAAAAATCCATTTACATTTCCCAGCACAGACAACATAGATAACAAATGTTTGTAAGAACACCACTGTGAAAGGAAAAGAAACCAAGTTTAAACTGGATATTCGAGATAAAATTGTAATAGTTTCTCTCATCAGCTGGGAACCCTGGCCTGATTTCCTCATGAGATCCTGCTTACATGCATCATGGCTTGTATCTCAGGTTGTTCTCCTTGGAGAGAATGCCTGTCGGCAAAGTTTATGCTAAATTTTCTGTCCAATCCATATGGATCTTTTTTTTTTTTTCCTGCTCCTCTTATCTTCAGCCCATTTCTTCTGTTTCACTCCATTTATTTTGTCTCTATTTCATCCAGGCAAAATAGCAGCGTCAAACTTGAATAACTCAAGGATGGATGCACCTTTTTGAATAAGTAGATATTCTGCTGACAGACGGATTTCTTCATCTTATTGATGATTTTCCAGCTTAGTAAAGGTAACCCCTCAGAACTCCATCATCAAAATGATGAACTTCTACATTTGCACAACTTTACATAAGCTTACTGAAAAATACTCTTGCTAAAAACATTGCAGTGAGTTCAGGGTGTTGGGCACTATTAATAATGCTTATTCTGAGATGTGATCTGTTTACAAACTCTTTAAAATGTTAATAGGTTTTAGACTGAAATTCAAGGCACATTTTTGAGGAATATAATAATGGCAGCAAACACATCATAGCAAGGGGTATTTAAATGTTTGAAGCTTAGCTGCTTAGAAGCAGCATTACTTACATATCTGTATACATTTGAAGTTTTGCACACAATATATTAAATTTCGGAACTAATTGCTTAGCTTTCATAATTCATATTTTTGCAGTGAACCTCACAGAGAAATTATGCCTAGGTTTTTGTCTGTATTTGTAGAATTTAACTAATTAAATTAAATGTTTATGCTAACTGACTTGCCCCTAATTTACTGCAAAATTTGCAATGCATTTATTGGGTTCCAGGGCATTTCACTTAGAGCATATTAGCTTAGCAAGAGCACCTCTGACCTGCTGTGTAGATTCTGAAAGCCACACTGTAACCAAGGTGTTATTGTCTCTTTGCTTAACACCTGCATGTGTTTCATTTACCTGTCAGTTTTCTCTTTATTTTTGCATTCCAAACAAGCTCTAGCTGCACACCGCATAAGCTGGTGTTATAGACACTTTAAAAACTTTTTGGAATTCACAAGGTGATTAAATGCTTTAATGTGGGTACTTCATTGTGTCTAAAATCTGTAGTTTTTGAGGTTGTGTAGTAAAGAATTAACACTATTTGTACAGAATTAGTTGTCCAGTTTTCCTATTACCTTCGATAGAAGAGAAAAATCTATGATTCACAAAGCTAGAAATCAGTGTAACACACTGCACGTGTTACAGCATATCAAAGTGCAGTTCACATGAGTGTTAAGGTACTACCACAAAAAATTATTTTCATATTCACATTCAGTCATCAAAAGGAGCTATTTTTCGTTGGTATTGTTGGGCTTTGAAGGCTTCCTAACTTTTATCTTGAGAGAATTCTGTCCTGTTATTCTTCTTGCATTTCTATGTGACGTACTATGACTCAAACTCAATTTCATGGCTTTCTTAATTTTATCAGATCTATGGAGGAGTTGAATGGAAAAGGTTTGTTGGGCTAGGCTGAAGTTTGCAGGTATTGAAATGGCCATTTGAACAGCACTTAAACGGTTAAATCCAAAACTGTGGTCCTGGAAACCCTGCTGAGCTGTTGCCTACTCCCAAGGGGATTTGAACTGTAAATGGACTCTGATTTCAACTTCCTGGAAAATCTTCTTGTATCTTGACAGTGACATCTTCCTGTCCAACTCACCTGATTGCTTAGTCAGGAAAAATACCCATGTCCTTCTCAGACCTATTCAGAGCTCATTTTCATGTAAAATATAGTAACAGTCAACTATCACCAGGGAGAAAAAACCAAAAACCAACAACTCCAATTTCCTCAGTTCTTCCCCCTACCTTTATAATTCTATTTTCTTCCTTTATTTTTTTCCCCAAGTTGTCTTCTACTTCTTGATTCTACACTGCTTGTCCCAGTCTGATGATCTGTGGTTGTCTTTGCTTCTTCATGCTCTACCCTCTGCTTCTGTTCTTTCTCTCCAGGCATGCTTTAATTATGGATAGGCATCAAGTTATGTCCTGGCAGCTGGAGTCCAGAAGTGACTTGGAGAATCTGGGGGAGAAAAAGCATCTTCCTTCCCTTAAGAGAACACAGTATGCAACTTTTTGGAGTACCATGAATGTAGTGAATGTGATGGTTGTGCATGTCCTGCACAGTACAGGAGTACAGTAAGGGAAGGCAAATCTTTGCAGGAGTCATGGCTAAATCCTGACCTATGTTACTTCAGCATATGCAATCTTCATTTTAATAGCTGTATAATAGAGGAAGATCTTTAGGAAATATAGAAAAGGCAGATCCTTATCTCCTGACAGTCTGCTTTCAAGTTTCATGTTCTGCTGCAGAATTTAGGGCTTCTCTGTGAATTGGCTCTAAAAGTTTAGTAGGGCATAAAAACATGTTTCTTTTCCTTTTTGTTTCTTTTTCTTGAAAATAATTTTTGCCTGAGATTTGTCTAAAAATCTGAAACATGTTGCTTGGAAAAGTTTGATGTATTGCTTTAAGTTTTTTGAAATTAGTTGCAGTTAGTGAAATAAAATAAAGAAGAATTACAAAGTCAGAGGTAAGATATTTCACACAGAAATTCTTTACTGATTATTTCAAAAGCCAAGCATACTTTCACTCCACATAATAACAAGACCATTCAAGTGCTTCCCTTGGGAGAAAAATCCTGTAGTGATTTACCTCTCTTGAGATGAAAAAGAAACTGTATGAAGACTTCAGAGGCAGAAGGACTTTTTTCTTCCTGGACTGGTTTCTTGTTATAGCCATCTTGCAGTCTTGCTGCAGGTACACTAGCAATGTAAACTATATTTCCATGCTTCATGTGGCAGTTTAGCCTTTGGATAGTCACTATACTGTTTTCTAAGCAGCTGATGAATTCAAGCAGCCAGCTGTATTCATTGAACTAGATGAGGTTTCACTAGTGTGGCTGTAAGCAGAATTTGACCGATAAAATGGTTTCTTTCTTCTCTGCAATATTGCTTGCATCTGCTGGTGACAGGGTTGCTTGTTTTATCTCGGTGCTTTTATCTGTTCTGCACTCCAGTAAGACCCTTCTTCCAAATGGCTCCATGCTTCCAGGCATATTTTAATAATTCATCACAAAAAGCTAGAGTAAGCAAGATAAATAACATAGCATGATCTATGGCTGTGCCTCAAAGGCAGGAAGCACAAATTGTGTTTAACCACATAAACATCAAGCTCTCATCTCACTTTACAGACAGGGAGGGAGCAGTACACTTAGTAAAAATCCACAGCTAATCTATAAACACCTGACTTCATACAAAAAAAAAAGAGAAGAAATTAATGGGAAAATTCATGAAATAGATAGTAATTATTTAAAGGAAATATTAGTCAAAAATATAGAGGTGTATTCACGTGCATAACCGCTATTAAATAAATAAATAATAAATAAATAATTTTTAAAGTATTCATATAGAACCAACTAAATATGTCAGTGGTAAGTGTCAACTCCATTTCTCTTACATTGCATTTTTTGACTTTCTGTGAAGAAAACCTCCAATAATTATTTAAGGTCTTAGTTGAAACTGAGGACTCTGCTTGTTATTCAGAACTTTGTTATGTCTATTGTTATGTAGAACTGGCTCATAAAAATATACCTGACCCTGCAAGTACTTGCAATTGAGTTCTCTTTCTTTGTTCTCCTTCCCTACTTGCTTCAATGACCCTATTCATTCACCTTCCCAACTTCTCTAACTTCTTAGCAAATTCTTACTTCTATACCTGTCCCCACAATCCCTAGCGCTTTCTCTAAACTTTTTCTGGTGATATAGTCTGTCTACTCATCATATTTCTAAATATTTATCAAAATATTTGATAAACTATTCATGTGTTCACTGTATGCTCCAGGGACAGCAAATACATAAACATCCCCAAATACCTGGAAGTGGAAAGTGAAGCTATAAAATAGCCATGTGTAGAGGAAAAGAGGGCAGTTTTTTTGGGATACCCAGTGGGGAAAAAAGAGTGGCAGCTTAAAATGTTCATAATAGCATTATCTTCTTCTCTATGCTTTCTGTTCCATCTTATGGATGAGACGAGAGGATTAGGAAACCATGGTGAGGGTAGGGAGATAAGGTTCACTGTGCAGACACCAGGGAACAAATTCTGGCTATGATACAAATACACCAGGAAATGGGCCAGAAATGTCCAATGTCCAATAGCCTCGCAGATCTTTAAGCTCTGGCTTTTCTAGCACTCTTCTTCTTTCTTAGAGATTTGCAGAAACATTCATTCTCAACAATTCATCACAAATCTTGTGTTATGTCTTAAAAGATTCCTTTAACTTAGGTATTTGTATACAGCAAATTTGCCCTCTGAGAACTTCTTCCTTTTCAAATGACACTTTTCCATCTGCCCCAAGTTCATTATTTTCACCTTTCTTTTCACATTCTGTGTTTTTTCCTGTAATTCTTTTAGTCTCATGAAATTCCATTCATTTGTACTGCAGATTACTCACAGATTGAATCATTGGCTCAAGATAGAGGACTGATCAAACAGCTGCTTTTATGTATTTTTAAATAAGAGTGATAGCGTGGATCGATAAAGCTCTGTTCATTCACCAGGACTTTTGATCTCTCCACCAACTGTAAGTTGTGCAGAAAAATCTGGCAATTGAGAGGGCTTGATACCGATGAAGAACAGGCATAATGAGAAGGACTTGGGTGGATGAGAGGTTGGACACAAGCCAGCAATGTGCACTTGTATTCCAGAAACACAATTGTATCCAGGGCTGCATCCAAGTAGCGTGGTCAGCAGGGCAAGGGAAGGGATTCTGCCCCTTTGCCCTAGTCTGGTGAAACTGCACCTGGAAAACCGCACCCAGCTCTGGGGTCGCAACCCAGGCAGGACATCGACCTGTTGGAGCAGGTCCAGAGGAGGCCACCAAGATGATCACAGAGCTGGAGCACGTCTCCTATGGGGAAAGGCTGAGAGAACTGGGATTGTTCTGCCTGGAGAAGAAAAGGCTGTGGGACGACCTAATTGCAGCCTTCCAGTACCTGAAGGGTGCCTATGAGAAAGATGGAGAGGGACTATTTAGAAGGGCATGTAGTGACAGGATAAGGGGGAATGGCTTCAAACTGAAAGAGAAGGTTTAGATTAGATAATAGGAAGAAATTCTTTAGTATGAGGATGGTGAGGCACTGGAACAGATGTTGTTAAAAGAAGCTGTGGTTACCCCATTCTTGTACGTGTTCAAGGCCAGGTTGGATGGGGGTCTGAACACCTTGGTATAGTGGAAGGTGTCTTTGCCCATGGAAGAGGGGTTTGAACTTGATGATCTTGAAGGTCACTTCCAAGCCAAACCATTCTTTAACATCATTTAAACAGTATGAATTTTGACAGCACCCAGAGGGGTTAAAGCAGGGTGAGTGTTTCTAGCACATATTTTTTATACTTTAGTGATCTTACTTCAGAGAGCCAAGTAATCTTATTGATCAGTAACCATATAATGAACAGTATTAATCATGTACCTATCAAATATAATAATTGCTGAAGGAAGTTGTATTGGAGTTGCATGGCCAGGTTTTGGTAGCAGGGGGGCTACAGGGATGGTTTTGTTTCGTAATGATTTTTAGCCTTTTTCATATTTGTAGCTTTGTAGATTTTTAATACATAGTTGCATAACTTCAAGTACTTTTCCTGTCCTCTCTCACAGTTTAGCCAAGTGTGCATATAGGCATATTTGTGCACACTAGAAAGCTTTAATTATAGAGTTGCATTTTTATCCTACCACTCTTAGTATTGTTTGAGAAGGTTTTATCTCTTTATTCCAGGCAACAGCTCCTGTGAGAAGCTGCCAGAAGCTTCCTCCATGTCCAACAGAGCCAGTGCCACTCAGCTCCAGGACTGATGTGTCACTGGTAGAGGCTGGGACAATTAGAAATGATGATAACCCCTCTGTAATAACATGTTTACCAAGGACAAAAAAGATATTGCACAGATATAATTGCGGCCAAAGACAAGTGGGATAAAAATATACGAGAGGAGCAACTGTGCAGACAAAAAAGTCAGTGGAGAAGGAGGGGCAGGAGGTGGTCCAGGCACCAGAGCTGAGATGACTCTGAAGCCTGGTAAAGACCATGGTAAAGCAGCGGTGTCCCTGCAGCCCATGGAAGGACACAGGGATCCAGATATCCACCTGCAGCACATGGAGGAGCCCCATGCCAGAGCAGGTGGATGCCTGAGAGGAGGCTGTGATCCTGTGGGAGGCCTGTGCTGGAGCAGGCTCCTGGAAGGGACCTGCAGACCCATGGAGAGAGGAGCCCATGTTGGAGCAGGTTTCCTGGTAGGCCACTGTGGGGAGCCCACCCTAGAGCAGGCTGTGCCTGAAGAAATGCACCCTGTGGAAGAGTGACCCACACTGGAGCAGATTGTGAAGAACTGCTACCCATGGAATGGACTCACACTGGAGAAATTCTTGGAGAGCTGTCTCCTGTAGGAGGCACCCCACACTGGAGAAGGGGAACCTATGTGAAATGGACTGACTATAACCTCCAATCCCTGTCTCCTTGCTCTGCTGGGGGGAAGGAAGTAGAGCCTGGTAAGGAGCAAGGACTGGAGGAAAGATGTTTTTAAGATATATTTTACTTTTCATTATCTCTCATTTTGTTAGTAATAAGTTCCATGAATATCCCCAGTTTGAGTCTGTTCTGCCTGTGAAGGTATTTGGGCAATGAACTCTGTTCTTAACTCATGAACCTTCTGTTATATTTTGTCTTCCCTGTTCTGTTGCAGAGGCAAGTGACTGAGAGGTTTTGGTGGGTGTCTTTTGTCCAGCCAGGGTCAACCCACGACTTACACATTTGACAGGGGGTTATGTGAGTGTATCTATTGTTCTTGTTATTTTTTCTGTGTTCTTTTTGAGACAGAATGTTCCTTTGCCATACTACAAGTCCCATCCTCTTGTGACTCCTCCATATGAAAAGTAAAATGTACAAACTCTCAGGACTTCGGACAGAGGAGCAGAAAGACTTTTCTTTTCTGGTAATTGTGCTTGGGGTGAGAAGAAATCTTTAGTTAATATTTTATGCAGTAGCTAAATTCTTTCCCTGATGTGTTT